TTCTCTGATCTCTCCTGCTACCTTCTGGTCAAAGTGTTTACTGCTCTCAAAACCTTTTCAATTTCATGTAATCCAGCAAATACCTCAAACAGGAGAAAAAAAAAAAGAAAGCAAAACAACCAACCAACCAAAGAAACCACCCAAGCCCCACAAGAAGTGTTGTGCCTGGACATGCCACAAATGAAAATTCTTTGCTGTTCATTTGCGTTCTTGCTTTGCCAGCAGGTGGAAACTCTTGCTAAGTGATTCCATTCAAAGGGCCTGTCTCACTTGCTCTGAATTAAAGCAAAAAACACCCCTGAAGTTTCCCAAAGCAATTCTGGAAATATACTCAGTTTAAATTATTGGTCCATCACTACAGATCCACAGAGTGCAATTCTTCTTCAGTTGTGTTGATCTTAAATAATGCAGGGATCTTACACTTTGATTTCCTGCCTGTGCTGTGGAGAAGTTAGGCTACATAATCATAGTAAGTCCGGATTGCTGACTTATGGCCAGAATTGTGGTTCTGATTTTCATTTTGCCTTCATTTTGTGGAGATCTCTAACAGGCATTTTGCACATACAACTGTATTTTGATCACAAAGACATTCACAGGCATGGGGCTTCACCTGCTCGGACACTGCTAGATCATCCTTGRGAGAATGCCATCCTTGGCAGGAGTCACCTACAGAGACTGAGAGCTTCTGTCCTCTTCTGCATCCCCCTGTCAATGCCCACAGCCCCATACAATATCATCAAGAGCAACAGACACAGGGAACATACACAGGGTCAGGAACCACAGCCACATTAACAGGCCAAGAAACATTGTCACTGGGGGCTACAGACCTAATACAACCAATGCTTAGATCAGGATTGTTTCCAACCCACTCCTGGCAGATCTGTTCTTATCTCAACCCTTCAAGCCCCACACTGGATGCCAAATAAGGCTGCTGTGTTTTAACAATGGTATTCTCCACTTTAGTGCTCACACAGCTACTCGAAACCAAGCCTGAGGGTCTTTCACAGGATCACAAAAAGGGTGATTATGGAAGA